AATATAGATGCTCAAACCCTAGATTAACAAATCCAGGGTCTGCTAACATGAGTTCTACTAATCCCGGACTTACTTTGCAGTGTAGACATACCCTTTGAGGGAGAGGATTACTCACATGCTTAACTTTAAAAATGAAGAAAAAATTCTTTCTCTGTATGGAAAAAAGTCACATTGACTTCACTTGGCTTTGGATCAGGCCTGTGAAGGCTGCTCCTGGGAAACTGCCATTGACTCATTGGTTTCCAGCAGTTTACAGTGGAGTAGCAACTTCATAAAGAAGAGTGCTCTATCACCAGACTTTACAGTGCATCATTAATTACATTTAATGGCACTAAATGAAAACCAGGGCTTTCTGTTCTCCATTTACCCTACTGCATCACCCCTGACGTCAATAGATTTGAGCCATCCAGCTGCTGCTCCACAGGAAGGTAAATTAAGGTCAATACAGGCTAATAGGTGAGGAAGAGTCATTCCTAGGAAGTCACGGCAACGAGAAAACACCTGCCATCTGGAGCTGTCATAAGCATGAATTTGCATCACTCCCCCCAAAATAAATAAATTGCAATCTAGAGAACATTACGCTCCCTGGATGCAAAGCCCCACTGCTGTTGCAAATGTGGTCTCTCTGCTTTCAGTGTCATTACCAGACTTGTGAAGGCTCCCCAGAGGTCTCCTGAAAGATGGGAATGGGCACAGAGGGGTAGTGTAACCACCAGGAGTTTAAGCACTACGGATTGAATGTGATTGTGCCACTCCGTCCGTTTGCTCACCCTCTGTGACTGAAAGCTTTCCTCCCAGCTCTGACAGTGCCACAGCCACTTGGGGAAGTGCATGACTTCCTCTGAGGGCTGAATTTTTTATTTGTGTTGCAGGCCCCTGACAGACACAGCATATCAGCAACATTTATATCAGCTTTTGTAATGTCACTGCAGCAGCCACAATTCAGGGAACTGAAATGCTGGATCGTGAGCCATGGTATACAGAAATCATAGACTAGAAACAAATGCAACCATCCCCAGACAATCCTCTGTTCTCCCAAGGCAATGGCAGCATGTACCGGTTCCTAATACTGTTAGGATGATGCCCATTATTCATGTGGGGGGGACAGAGAAAGGGGATTCTGTTGCAGTTTAGAATAAAACTAAAAGACCCTTTGCCCTGATTGTATCCTGTCTGCTCTTGTGTTGTCATTTATGTCTGTGCAAAGTGGGCATAAAGCCACCATCACTCATGTAAGTCAGCAGAGAATTCTGACCAGTTGGCATTTTACACCCACATTGCATGCAGTGTACATGATTACACAAGGTGCAAAGCAGGGCCGGCTCCAGGCACCAGCTTGGCAAGCAGGTGCTTGGGGCGGCCAGTCCAGAGAGGGGTGGCACATCCAGCTATTCGGCGGCAATTCGGCAGAGGGTCCCTCACTCCCGCTCGGAGCGAAGGACCTTCCGCTGAATTGCCGCCGCAGATCGCGATCGTGGCTTTTTGGGGGGGAGGGGGGGCTGCATGGGGCGGCAAAAACCCTGGAGCCGGCCCTGGTGCAAAGCAAGGAGCTGGGAATTCCAATTTGCATCCAGGGAGTGGGGAATTCCCATTTTCAGCTGAACAGGCTGATGACGCCAGTTCTTTACCATTAGGTACTTAGCTATGTTAAGAGCTAGGGTAGGAATATGGCCAAATTCTCTACAGTTGTAACTCAAGGCATGACTTCAATGGAGTTATGCCAGCAGAAGGGTTGATCCTTAATTTACATTACTGGACTGTAGGCAATAGCTCTCTGTGTGGGGGACAGAATGCCAACTGCCCATCTTTTCAGTCTCTAATCCACACTGCAACATGATGAGTGGTCTGATCTGATTAAATGATCACATACATTGTGCTGTAAGTAAGGGGTGATCTCCACCAGCCAGTTTGTGCACAAGTATGTCTGTTTTTTGTATGCACATTATTGTGTTTGCTGCCAACTAGCAGCCACCAGCTGGACACTGAGCCTGAGTCTCCCTTCACACTAGTTTACCCTCATGTAACTCCATTGAGTTAATGGAGTTATTCCTGACACATCAGGTGCAAATGATATCAGAATTAGGCCTCCTGTCTTAATCTTCAGCTGTGCCAGAGCAGAGCTCAGTACAGCTGAGTGAGAGGTGGGGTAAGGGATGCAAAGCTGACTCTAAGCCGGCTTTCTGCTCCTTCTTCCCCTCTTGCTGGAGCTGGATTTAAGAAGGTGAACTGTCAGGCTGGAAGGAGGTTACTAGTGGAGTTCCTCAGGGATCGGTTTTGGGACCAACTTATTTAATCTTTTTATTACTGACCTTGGCACAAAAAGTGGGAATGTACTAATAAAGTTTGTGGATGACACGAAGCTGGGAGGTATTGCCAATACAGAGAGGGACCGGGATATCCTACAGGAAGATCTGGATGATCTTGTAAACTGGAGTAGTAGTAATAAGATGAAATTTAATAGTAAAAAGTGCAAGGTCATGCATTTAGGGATTAATAACAAGAAATTTTGTTATAAGCTGGGGACGCATCACTTGGAAGTAACAGAGGAGGAGAAGGACCTCGGAGTATTGGTTGATCACAGGATGACTATGAGCCGCCAATGTGATATGGTCGTGAAAAAAGCCAATGCAGTCTTGGGATGCATCAGGCGAGGTATTTCCAGTAGAGATAAGGAGGTGTTAGTACCATTATACAAGGCACTGGTGAGACCTCATCTGGAATAATGTGTGCAGTTCTGGTCTCCCATGTTTAAGAAGGATGAATTCAAACTGGAACAGGTACAGAGAAGGGCTACTAGGGTGATCCGAGGAATGGAAAACCTGTCTTTTGAAAGGAGACTCAAAGAGCTCGGCTTGTTTAGCCTAACCAAAAGAAGGCTGAGGGGAGATATGATTGCCCTCTATAAATATATCAGAGGGATAAATATCAGGGTGGGAGAGGAATCATTTAAGCTCAGTACCAATGTGGACACAAGAACAAATGGATATAAACTGGCCATCAGGAAGTTTAGACTTGAAATTAGACGAAGTTTTCTAACCATCAGAGGAGTGAAGTTCTGCAATAGCCTTCCAAGGGGAGCAGTGGAGGCAAAAGACATATCTGGCTTCAAGACTAAGCTTGATAGTTTATGGAAGGGATGCTATGATGGAATAGCCTAATTTTGGCAATTAATTGATCTTTGACTATTAGCGGTAAATATGCCCAATGGCCTGTGATGGGACACTAGGTAGGGTGGGATCTGAGTTACTACAGAGAATTCTTTCCTGGGTGTCTGGCTGGTGAGTCTTGCCCCATGCTCAGAGTTTAGCTGATCGCCATATTTGGGGTCGGGAAGGAATTTTCCTCAAGGGCAGATTGGCAGAGGCTTCTCCCTACATGGAAAAAGCGCTAGAGTTCTACTTTAAAAATTGCCACTTGTGGAGTTCCATTTGGCCCCACCTGAGCCGGGACCTCTGCACAACTCTTTAGGTGTAAGCAGCTCTCCGGGTGTCACGGTGTGTCAGCTACACCCACACCATTGTGAGGCATGGGCACTCCTGCTGATTCAATCAGGACTAAATCCCAGGAGAGTTTCTGCTTGCAATGCATGTGAAGAGCAAGAGCACTGACCGTACAAAACAGCTGCTCTTCAGTTCATGCATTTTCTCTGCCCCTTTACTTCCCTCAAACTCTTACTATGTGGGGCAGAGGGGGGGCATCATTGTGTCTGGAGGCAACAGGGGGGTTACATTGGTGCTGAGGGGATCAGAGCACACTTTGCTACTAGGATTTATCTGTAAAAGAGCAGTTAATACATGTTGAGACAGAAGGGTGATTTCATTCCCCCAGCTGTGGCCCTTTAACTGCAAATATACAGGCCCCGATTGATAAATGTGACTTTAATTTTGCACTTGCAAACTTGTGCATGTAGATATTTGCATGCACAAAACTTCAATGTACAGTATGTGGGAAATTGGTTCATGCACAGTATAGAGGCTCTGGGCCAGATCCTCAAGTGGTGTAAATTGATTTCAATGCATCTGTATGGATTTACATCAACTAAGGATCTGGCCTGCATTTAAAGACTGAGGCTACGTCCTCACTACGGGGGGGGGTGGGGGGTGTCAATTTAAGATACGCAAATTCAGCTACGCGAATAGCGTAGCTGAATTTGACGTATCGGAGCCGACTTACTCCGCTGTGAGGATGGCGGCAAATTGACCTCCGTGGCTCCCCCGTCGACGGCGCTTACTCCTACCTCCGCTGGTGGAGTACGTGCGTCGATTCGGGGATCGAATGTCGCGTCCCGATGAGACGCAATAATTCGATCCCCGAGAGATCGATTTCTACCCGCCGATTCAGGCGGGTAGTGTAGACGTAGCCTGAGTGAAACAAATAACCCAGCTTTGCGCCAGATCCACTGGCCCCTGTGCACCACTCTAGTGGTGCAAAGGGGCAATACAGCAAGTTTAACCAGCTGGCTGAATTTCCCGAGTGTGGCGAGCCCAAGTAGCATAGAGCTAGCACGACCGGATCTGTGCCATTGTCTTCAGGGGCATGATCAAGGGAAAGAGGAATGCCCCTTTATAATCTGGCAATCCCCAGATGGCATAATATCCCCTTGGGGGCTGTGCACCTGGCAGAACTTTGAGCAGCAATGAGGGGTTCCAGAATTAGCCCCAGGAGTGTGGAGCAGTAAAGGTGGCTTATAGCTACTTTTGCCCTCCCCTTGAGATGCTGCTGAGTTCTGCTTTGCCACAGCTAAGGCGTGAGACCCCTACGTGGAGCAGCATGGCAAAACTTCTTTTACCATATACACTGAAAATTGTATATTGAAATCCTCCTGATGTATATGTGTGGGGGTGGGGCAGAAGAGCGAGAGACACCCACGGCTCCAGCAGCTGTTGCTGCTGCCTGGAGGAGGTGTGGGGACGGTTTGCCAAGAAGGGAAGTCTCCCAGCCCTGCAGGGGGGCGGGGAAGGAAAGGGGATATACTGCAGTTACTTAAGAGCCCCCAACTATTTCCAGATTTCATTGCACTTGAGAAAGTCTACCAGGAACAGGAAAGAGAACATCTGAAAAGAAGGTACCCTGGCTAGCTAAACACTTTCTTTAAAAGTTTAATGCTATTAAATAATTGCCACGTTTTGAAATGCTGCCTGAATGGGTATTTGGAAGAAGCTGAGTTCTCAGCATTGAGTATTTTTTCTGAGCAGGCTGCCGTGTCTTTGTCACTGCCACATGCATGCATGCGTGTGTACACACACACACACACACACACACTAGATGTGAAATCAGCTTTATGCTACCTCAAAGAGAAATCTCTTATCATCCAATATATGCAATTTCCCTTTAATTGATTTACTCTAGAGAAGTAAGTGGAGGGAAAGTTTTTCTCCCCTTTTTCTTGCAACCTGCAGGGTGTGGGAGGTGATTTTATTGTCTGGGTGTCTGTGGGCAAATCTTCAGATATTTTGTCTGTGTAAAATATGTAGAAGCCCTATACAAAATATGATAGCATTCATTTCAAACACTTTGTAGTGTTTTGGACTCATGATGCAATATAATTTGTGTGTGTGTGTGTGTGTGTGTGTGTGTGTGTGTGTGTGTGTATTAAATCAGGGTAGAGAATTTGTGAGATTCACTCATCAGTGATATTAATTCACCACTTAATCTGCAGTGATGCCTTTTTGGAGGGTTATGTATGTATTTAATCCTAACTCATGGAATCTCCCAAATGTTTCAAAGTCTTGCTATTCCCAGACAAACCCTTTTGTGTTTGGGTTTATTCTTTCTTCTCTTTTTCATATGTTTTGACAATCACAAAATACCTTCCAAGCCTCAGGGGATTGTAATCCATCGTTAGACTGATGCTTTCTGCCTTTGTTTTATTTATGTGAGACTGAAAATGTGTAGCTCATTGGCATTGCACACTGTTATTTGTTTTTCCCTCTTAGACGTGGGGCTCTAGCTCACTTTTCTTTTCTCTTGCTCTCCTTTTTCCTTTTAGGGGATTGCAACACTGTTACAATGTCTGAACCAACGCACGCTGACAAAGAGAAGAAAAAACCAATTCCCCCTAGCCTGAGTGGCCGAAGAGCCCTCCCCCCAAACATCTCTAATGCTGAAGAAGATGAGGTCCCTGTCATGGAGATGACTGGTTTTGTACCTAGGGGAGTTAACCTGAAAGGTACAGTGTACTGCACATTTTAAGAGTTGAACCCTTTCTATATTTCCAGTACCTACTTCTGTTTGTGTCTACGAAGTAAAACAAAAACACTTGTAATAACAAAGCTAGGTAATGATAATTTGTTGTACTTCTGTAGCTCCTTTCATTTGAGGATCTCAAAGGCCTTTACAGGGTTTAATGAATGACCATCCCTATCAGAAAGAGGAAAGGAAGTTCTCTGTCTTGCAGGCAGAGAAGCTGATGCACAGAGAAATTAAGTGGACTGCCCCAGGTTGACCATGTCAAATAGTAGATGGAGGAGGCAGATTCAGGAATATTTTGACAACTATAACACCGAGTGCAGTTCATTGTGACTTGTGGGGATCATATTATTTGTTGTTCAAAAGCGTTCAGATGATTGCGGGTTATTTCTGAAAATGTTTGCAAATCTTGAATTAGTCTTTAAAATTACCAGAAATTGCTTGTTATGCTCCTGGTTACAAAGCTTACAATCAGGGACCAGAACTGACATCATGTGACTTGTATGTCAAACAACATTGAGTAACAATTCTAAGTCTTTGGAACAAACAGGTTCACATGCCAGCTGAAAATAATATGAAAATAATACTTATAAATAACATACATTTAAAGAAATCAGGATTGACGCTTGCATGATTCACTAGCTTAAGAGGCTAAATTTATAACAAACAGAAATTAATAGGTGAGCTAGTTCTACAGAGCAACCAGGGCAGTATGATATAATAATACACGAAACTCCTACAACAATTTTCAGCCAAGGATCTCAAAGCACATGACAAAAGTGGGTAAGCAGTAATATCTCCATTTTACAGATGAAGAAACTGAGGAATGGAGAGCTTTAGTTGCACTTGAAGACTGTGTAGCCTTGATTTCCTTCACCCTAATCCCATGCCTTAACCACAAATTCACCCACCCTTCCCATCCTAATACATAAATGTTTCTTTAATAAACATCACTTTTGAAAACAGGCAAGCAACTGTCGTGTTAAGAGTGGAACCAGGGGCTATGCTTTTCAAACATCCTTGCTGTTGTATGTTGGTTTGTGTTTTGATATAATGTAGCACAGTGCAACATGACATAGGAAGGTCCAGCTCAGACTACCGTGGATACATAGGATCTCAAAGGAGAAACATTAGTAAAAGCAGGGAAGCCTAAGGTCTTTGGAAGCCTGAGAGGAAGATTAGAGAAGTTGTGTTGTGGGTCCGAACCAAAGCCCATTGAAGTCAATGGAAAGACTCCCACTGACTTTTGAGGAGCTTTGGATCAGAACCCATGTATAAGGGTAGAGTTGGGGGAGATTTTTATGGGGTTTTTCCACCAACAAAATTAAAGCTTTCAGGGCAAGTAAAAGGTGGCGAGAAGTCTGAAATGTCTGCCTCCTGCCTCGCTGGCAGGCCGAGAGATTATTAATGTACAAGGCAAGGAAGTTGATGGCCTAGAACTCTGCCTCTAAATAGATAAGTGTAGAGGTTCTTTTGTGTCATAATGTGCTGAAGGGGAGAATCTGCCTGGAAAGATTCACTGCTTCTGAGGGGACTCGTTTGTCCCACATTATCCCTTAGCAATGTTATTCCAGCAGTACTGAGGAAAATGCAGTCAGCATAGCCAGGAAAATACACTTTGAAAAGGATCTGCAGGGTGTGTGATGGTGACCGGGGGGGAGGGAGGAATTTCTGCTATTTTCACCACATTTTCAGAAATAACAGAAGGAATTACCTGGCCTCTTATTTTTTTAGACCAGCATGTCTTACACACAACTCTGGCTGAGTATTGCATTTTGGGGTTGGTGCTTGCTGCGTAGAGCAGGTGCAGTGTTGTGCAGACAAGCACAAGGTAAGAATTTGCCAGGGAGCCGAGGCCTGCGTCAATGAGCGTGCTTTCTGCCTAAGCTGCTTCCATGCCCATGCTACCACAATATCTGAGCACCTCACAGTCGCCAAAGGATTTTATATTCACAGCACCTCTGTGACATAGGAAGTGCTATTATCCCCATTTTACAAATGGGGGACTAAGTGACTTGTACAAGGTCATACAAGAAGTTTGTGGTAGAGGAAGGGATTCAACTTGTAGCTCTCAGGTCAGCACCCTGACCACTGGACCATCCTTGCTTTGCTCTGCTTGCCAAGTTACTCCTACTTAGTGGGAGGAATAAGGCTTTATGGTGGGCTAATAGCTGAGTGCTTTATTAACCAGCTAAGAATTAGACTGACGTCCATATCTCCCCAGACACACTCATTCTTCATCCATATCATGCCCCTTTTTTACCCTGATGAGTTCAGCAGAAACATGTCTGGGAGGCTTGAAACTTCGTGCTGCTCAATTGTGGAAGATATGCCCAATACTTATCCTTACTTGTGTCCACTCTTACTAGCACTGGATAGGAAACACCCAGCGCACCCTCCTTTGCACCATCCAAAGACTTACCAGTGATCCGTGCCTTTGTGAATAGAACTACCTGAGATTCAATTCAATAAAGTCCCCACAATTCTTCTAGTCTGGAGCCATTTCTGTCTTGTTCTTTAGGAAGTCATGAAGTTTGAAGGCTATTTTCTTTTATTGACAAAGCACCTTAACTTGTGTTAATGTGTTGCCATGAAAGTTTAAAATTCTTCCTTTATAAATGTTTTAAGTCATCAAATTGCTCCTTCTTGCACATGAAACGAGCTTGCCCTGAATGTCTGGTCCAACACTAATGTCTGCCAATCAAGAGGATTTCGCTTCAAGGCTGTCCCTTCGCTGCTTGCTATCTGTTTTGAACAAAGAGGTTCAGCTGTTCAAGGGGGTCTGTAGAAAGCTCTAAACATCCCTGTGCTTTTTATTGTATTCCTTTCCTAGTTGTATTTTCTGTTAATGCTGATATCTAAAGCATACAATTACCAGGAGCCTTGCAGATATTTTGGCCATTGCAACTAACACAACAACAACTTTTGTTGTAAAGGCACAGGTCAGCTGCATACGGTCAATGTACAGTTGTTAATTTTAAACACTTTTGATGTTGAAAGTGTGTGTGTGTGGGGGGGGGGGAATTCTGCAGGCATAGATTGCTGCACTTTGACAGAAGCTTCATGAAGACCTGAGATGAAGCAACCAGATACTGGAGCTATAGGATGAATTTCCTTTTTAGTTTCTTGAAGGTACTGACCTGAAAATAACAGAAGGAGTGACCTGGCCTCTTATTTCTGAAAGCAGGGTGAAAATAGGAGTAAACTCCCCACTGAATTGTACCAAATTTTGTCAGAGGAATCAGAGTTCTGAGACAAAGATGCATCACGTTCCACTCTTCCTCCAACTCCACAGAAGTCCCACATGTAATTTCTGTCAATAGGGGGCACTGCAACTTTTATGTGCAGTGTTCCTGCATTGGGAGGGAATTGAGGAGATGCCATGAGAGAGCAGCTTTGCATAACATCATTCCGCTGGGAAACTCATGAGATTTCCTCACATAAGTTAATGATGATCTTGTTAGCCTTGTTATAAATGGAGTGTTGGTAAATCTGAGGGAGTGAGGTGAGCAGATGTTCCAGGCACGAGGGAAAAAATGTGCTTTGGCTCTGACAAAATATTGTCCTCCCCCTCCAGGGCTCTGTTAGTTCACCATTGGCTGTATGCCTCTGCCTGTAAGAAAATGATCTAGAGCAAACTAGAGTGGGAAATGGGGAACTCAAAATGGAAAAATCACGTAGAATTAAATAGCGAATAGTAACCTTGCTCTGGAGTTTTTAAACCTGCTGATCATTCTAATCAGGAATTGATCTTTTTTATGGGCGGGGTTTAAAATTCTATATAGAGAATGTTTATCATGTATCCTCTCTGTGGGTGGGGTTATGATAAACTTTCTTTATATACAATTTTAAACCCCAAAGTTTGTCATAACTCCATCCACAGAAAGGATACAACTCCCTATTAGATCGATCAGCAGTTTTAAAAACTCTAGAGCAAGGTTACTATTCTCTGTTTAATTCTATAGGCTTCTTGAGTAACTGCTATGAAAGTTTCATCCCTTTTAAATTCCATTGGACTTTTCCATAAGGGCTGCAGTAAGAAATATTTTGAGCATTTTTACATCAAACAGACATTTCCCTCTCTGGTTTGTTTTCGATCAGTTTCCCACAAAGCAGGGTACAGCTGATGATGAGAAGAGACAAGGATATACTCCTGCAACCCTTATTCATATGAGTATAAAAGAATAGCACAAGTATGTAGTAGCAAAATCAGAAAGGCTAAGGCACAAAATGAATTACATCTAGCAAGGGAAATACATTACAATAACTAGAGGTTCTATAAATACATTAGGAGTAAGAGAAAGACAAAGTAAAGTATAGCCCTTCTACTTAGTGGGGGAACAAGAGCTAATAACAGACAACGCCAAGAAGGCTGAGGTGTTTAACACCTATTTTTGCTTCAGTCTTCACCAAAAAGGTTCCTTGTGACCAGATACATAGCACAATTAATATTAATAACAAGGGGGAAGAAACACACAGCAAAATAGGGAAAGAAGAGGTTAAAAAAATACTTACGTAGGTTAGATGTATTCAAGTCAGTAAGGCCTGATGATATTCAACCTAGAGTACTTAAGGAACTAGCTCAGGGGTAGACAACCTATGGCACGGGTGCTGAAGGCGGCACGCAAGCTGATTTTCAGTGGCACTCATACTGCCCGGGTCCTGGCCACCGGTCTGGGGAGCTCTGCATTTTAATTTAATTTTAAATGAAGCTTCTTAAAAACCTTATTTACTTTACATACAACAATAGTTTAGTTATATATTAAAGACTTATAGAAAGAGACCTTCTAAAAACGTTAAAATGTATTACTGGCACGCGAAACCTTAAATTAGAGTGAATAAATGAAGACTCGGCATACCACTTCTGAAAGTTTGCCGACCCCTGAACTAGCTGAATCAATCTTGGAACCATTATCTTTGAGAACTCCTGGAGGGCTGGTGAGGTCCCAGAGGACTGGGCAAACATAGTACTTCTCTTTA